AATACACAAGTTAAATATTTATTATATTTAATAAAAATTTATAAAAAAAATTATATATATAAATAAATATTATATTTAAATATATAAATTATATGTAAAATTTATATAAATATATTTTTAAACATATGAATTATATTTTATATTTATAATAAATATTTAATATTACGACACAATATTATTTTTTTAAATATAGATAATTTATTTTTGAAATATTAAAATTCATTTTATAAGTAAATATAACAAACAAACAAAAAATTGATAATGAAAAAATAATAATAAACAAAAATTAAATTAGATTAGAAGTTAAAAAATTTCTATAAACCTTCTCCTTGAAGAAAAATTCTTTAAAATATTATTAGGTAATTAGATAATTGTTTGTATTTGACATATAAGGGTGAATTTTTTTTCATTTTTTGATCATCCTAAAATCCTTTTTGTAAACACTAACTATAAATTATTGCATTGTTTGTGGAGTCTAGTTGTTTCAAGATTTTTAAATTATCATTTGTTTAAGGTTTATGTTTCACATGTTACATACTATGAACATAATGGGCGAGACTATGGCTCCCAAACTCCATTATTCCCAAGATTATGAATTTTCAAGATTTCATGGGAGACCTTTCCTAATAACATATTTCATACAAATACTTTATCACTAAACTCACTTTTAGGCACACAATGCATAACACATAGCAAGACTCAATGCAAGACTCGTACATATTCACCCTTATATATCACGCATACTTAGTATTCACATCATCACTTCATCCCAGCTAGACACACATATCCGGACATACCACATAGCTAAGATATTAGTTTGTACTTCACAACACTTTAATATCATATAATTCTCGATATATAGTCATCACAATATTCTTTTATCTTACTTAACATCCCATTAATCATAACTATCACAAAACAACCTCAACAACTCAAAATTCATCTCATTACAAAAAGTTCCATACTAATTTTGTACAAGGGGTTGCGTTCAAAGAAACTTACCCCACACCAAGTGTGACCCCTACAAAGAGAACCTTTTGATCTCTAAAGGTCTCTCGCCTAGTGTGGCCTTACCATGCCCGACATTACAGCTACAAAGAGTTCCTAGAGCTCTCACACCCAACTTGGTTCACATGATACCTGACAACTAAGTCATAGAGAGCAATCTATGCTCTCTAAAGCTCTTGCGTCCAACATAGTCTTGTTGATGCCTAATGCCATCAAGAGAGAGAGTGTCCCTTTCTCTCAAAGGTCCTGGTGCCATGATCCTCACGCTTGACGCGAATCTAGTTTCATGCGGTTTGCAAAATCTATGAAAAGCACACACGTTTGGGGTTTTCACACTTTTATTCAATTCAATCGATGCAAAAATGAATTAAAGCCTTTTTTACCTACTATGAATCATTAGTTAATTAGTACACCAACTACTCAAACATAACTTTGATTACAAAATCCTTAATCTTGCTCTTTACATTGAGTTTTCATAGTAACCTAAAAGTTCTCTATAGGAACTAAAATCAACATCAAGCACCATCAATTACACAGTATAGAGCAACAAGAATGGTAAATTCCAGCCAAACAATTTAAAGTAAATAGAACACAATTAAACAAAGGGGTCTCAAAGTGCCCTGTAAAACAACAAAGAACACCAAATAATGAGATTGGGGTCACTCCTAATATCGAACATTTATCTTACACCCATGAGTGAGAAAACTTACTCCACTCTTACCTCAATAGATGCTCGTTGACGATAAGGGATCTCTTGGGTGGTTCCTTCCTTCAACCTCAACATTTTTTTCAAGCATTTATAAAGTTATGAAAAACTAGCCGTTTACCCCTTAGATAAACTTCCTAACCCAACAACTCTTTGGGTTAAAGGTAGTTAACTCAAGTCAAAACACTTCCTTTTTTTTTATTTATTATTAATTGAAACAATCATATAACCCAAATTAACTTATAATTATATAACTATGTCTTCACAAAACCCTTCTTAATTTTAATAAACACATCTAATTAATTTTCTAAAACTCATATTACTATAATTATTTATTTTACGAAAATTTGGAGTGTTTTACTATGAGTTTTTTTTTTTTTGAAGAGCAGGGGTCAAGGCCCCTCAAAAGTAGGGATGGCAAATATACCCGTACCTGCGGGTAATACCCGAACCCGTCCCGACTTTGACGGGGAATACCCGATTTGGCCGGGTACGGGTACGGGTACGGGTAAAACCCGATATATTAAATCGGGTACGGGTATGTACTTACCCGCCCCGTACCCGTACCCGTACCCGTTCCCGTTTCCATTTTTAATTTAATACTCACTTTTAATTTAATTATATTAAAAAAAATTAATATTTTTTATGTGTGATTATTTATTATAATATGAGATAGAAAAATAACTTAATTATAATTATAATATAATAAAAAAAATAATTTAAAAATATTATTTTTTTTTACAAAAAATAAAAAATAAAAAAATTGACGGTTACGGATACGGGTACGGGTATACGACGGGGATGGGAATGGGGATGAAAACCACATACCCGGCGGGTACGGGGACGGGGACGGGGACGGGGACGGGGATGAATTTGACTCGCGGGGACGGGGACGGGTTTCATAAAACGCGTACCCGCCCTGCCCCGTTGCCATCCCTACTCAAAAGACTGTTAATTAAAATCCACAATGTAAAGGAATAAAGGCTACATTAGTTAAATAAAATAAGGAAAAACATTAAAAAAAATTCTACCAAGAGTATATATTACTTTGTTTGTTTCGCTAAAGATGTGAAGTAGATACTTCGTCTAATAATGAAATCTGTAATCAATTTAAAACAAGTATGCGTTCAATTCCAAACTCTTTGTATCAAAAAATGCTTTACTATATTGTTTAATTCATATTTGTTTTTACAATAAATTGTTGCACTTGAATAATAAACAAGATAGACAAATTTTAACTTTAATTTTATCCTAATGATAAATATTTTTTACTAATCTTATTAATATTTTATCTTGCCAATTTTAATTATATTGTTTTAAACATATCAAAAGTAATTATATAAATATAATAATTTTATAAAAAAAATTATTTAAATATTTACAACTATATTATATTTATAAATAAATATATTTAATACACAAAAAAAATATAATATATTTCTTCATAAAATTTTCACACCGTGAAAGGTTGTAGTTGGGTTTACAATTAACTACGACATCTTTTGGGCCATTGGGTAAAAAGCCCAACCCACGCTCTCCGGCAACAAAAAACCCTAATTCCTCTGCGGCTCCCTCTTAAACTCAAAACCCTAGCAGACACAGAATAGAACAACCGAGAGAGAGAGAGAGAGAGAGAGAGGAAAAATGGTGTCAGGGTCAGGTATCTGCGCGAAGAGGGTGGTGGTGGATGCTCGCCACCACATGTTGGGAAGACTCGCCTCCATCGTGGCGAAGGAGCTTCTGAACGGACAGAAGGTGGTGGTGGTGAGGTGCGAGGAGATTTGCATCTCCGGCGGCCTCGTGAGGCAGAAGATGAAGTACATGCGCTTCCTCCGTAAACGCATGAACACCAAACCCTCTCATGGTCCCATTCACTTCCGCGCCCCCTCTAAGATCTTCTGGCGCACCGTTCGTGGGTCAGCGTCTTTTTTTTTTCCCCTCTTATTACAAAAAATAATTAATTGCATTTTTGTCTTTCCAGTTTGTTGAGCTTCAATGTGTGTGTGATGAGATTCTCGTGCTTTCGTTGAAAAGAAATTTGTTGTGGGAAAATCTGGGTAGGTTAATGTTTAGAGCTGGGATTTTATTTTGACTGGGTATAAGGAGGAGTGATCCGTGTAGGAAACTGTGTGTGTGTGTGAATAATATGGACAATCAATTATTTGGAAACTACATTATTTTAAGTATGGATTGTATGAATAATCAATTATTGTTATAGTCTATTATGATCAAAATGAAATTTTGTTTAGGTGAGTTTGCTGAAAACTACTTCAAGATGTTTAACTTTTTTTTGTTGTGTACAATAAAGATATAAAAATCAGTTTTTATGTATAGTAAATTAGCTTAAAAGAAAGATGATAAAAATAATCATAAGCTTCGTAAAGTCAGCTTATTTTTTAGGAAAAATCAAACAGTTTATAAATTTAAGCTGTTGTTCTGAGCATTTTTTTTCCCGAAAAAAATCAGCTGAAATGAGAGATCATAATTTCTCTCGAACACCCTCCTAGTAAGTGGGATTTGATTTTGATGTTGTTGTCAGGGCTAGTGTGTCTGCCTTTTGAAAATTGTGAACTTGCAATCGTGGAAAGGTTTTTGAGGAGAATGTTTGTGTTTGTAGAATGATCCCGCATAAGACAAAGCGTGGGGAAGCTGCTCTTGATCGGTTGAAGGTTTATGAGGGTATTCCTCCTCCTTATGACAAGACAAAGAGAATGGTTGTCCCTGATGCTCTCAAGTGAGTTTTACCCTTTGTGCTTTTGTTTTGAAATTTTGGATTTGGGCTTTTCTTCGCTGGATTGGATGTTTTATTATTGTTAAGAATGCTGAAGTGATCATTGGAATTAATTAGGGTTTTGAGGCTTCAGAAGGGACACAAATTCTGTCTTCTAGGCAAATTGTCGTCTGAGGTTGGATGGAACTACTACGATACTATCAGGGTGAGTATTTACTTTACTGAATTGTCTTTCCTTAGGAATTTCCCTCTTTTTAAGAATTTGGTTTTTAACAGAACCTAAATAACACCAGAAGATTTTGTATTGTTGTAATTTTATTCTTTTGTTTGCTGTTTCATTCTAATTGCTATGTTGCTAACAGGAACTGGAAAAGAAGAGGAAGGAAAGAGCACAGCTCTCTTATGAGAGGAAGAAGCAGCTTTCCAAATTAAGGGTGAAAGCTGAGAAAATTGCAGATGAGAAGCTTGGTTCTCAAATTCAAATCCTTGCCCCTGTTAAGTACTAAGTAGTATATCTATTAGTGTTTTAAAATTTTGTTTCGAGGTGTATACCGAACTGAACTCCATTTCAGTTTTGCTATTCGGCTTGGACTCTAGATATGATAATCTTGGAAGTTGTTTTAATTTGCTTGGTCTAGTATCATTGTGTTGTCCTATTAAGTTATTTCATATTGTTTTTGGGTTGCCCCTGTGGCGTGATATCTATCTTTAATGGGTTAATGGGCATGGCAGTATATGGGCTAATTGCGATACTTTAACCGATTAATTTGTTAAATGATGCCAAGAGGAGAATTTTAAACCGAATCTCTTGCTTGTATATGGGCTAATTGGGATACTTTGCCTTAAATTTTATGCTCAAGTCATACCTCGTTTTCTAGGCTTCATTAGAGACTTCACAACTGACTGCTTTAAATTTAAATTCATAATGGATTAGATTATTCACCTTACTTATATCTCCTATCAATCGAATCCACCAATATATATATATATATATTCTATTGGTTCTACAGGCTATAATTAATTAACAAAACGTGAAATTATGCTTTTATAAAATAAAGTGGGTCATGGCCAGTACCCATCATTTTGATTTTAAAAGTTAAAAGACTTTTTTTTTATACATAAAGCAAATGACACACAAGTAAGAGAGATGAAACTTTTAACTCTGAGTCAATTATTGATGACTTTAAGTCTTTGAAGCAATGAAGAGCAACACTTTAAATACAGGTACACTTAATCTTTTGTATGTTTATTGCTACTTTGTATCAATATATCATTTTGAGACTTTGTATGAGAAATATAAATTTTTGTTAAATCACTTGATCAATATTTATGGCTTCCCTTAAATTTTTAGTTAAGATCCACCATTATGTGTATTATTTTAACAAGATATCATTTTTGTAGAGAAAGATAAAGTTGATATTATACAACATGAATTTGTTATAGATTTATCTACTTAATTCTCCAAAGAAGTTTAATATTAATGGACAATTATTCCAATGACAATTTTTATTATTATTTAATGTTGTACACTTTTTAATTAAGTATAATATTGTATGCATTATACTTAGTTTAACAATTTTTATTTTAAATTAAAGATTATTTTAGATTGAAGTTTATTTTAAATTAGAATCCTTTTGAAAAAAATAGTTGGGTTGGTAGACTAGGCTGAGTTAGAAAATTTTGAACATTAAATTTGGTGGATTGGGATAGGCCAACCCACTTAAAAAGTAGGTTGAGGTGGGTCGAATCGGCATATTTTGATAATCCTAAAATACATGTATAATAAAATTTAAAATTATTTATATATTTATTATTATTATTATCATTTAATTAACGATTATTATTGCACTTTATTTTGTAAAGTGAAATCTTCTCACTTTAGATAAGCTAAATCCATTGCGATGACTTATCTGTGAAGCACACTTTGATCTATCTTCACCTACTTGATATTAATTTTAGCTCATTACATGCTAGACTTTTTAGAGTTAGGCATCAATTTGGCGGTTCATCCATGACATTCATACAACACATCAAGTAATAATTTGGCCATGTAGAACAACAAACTTTCTCTCTTTTCTTGCCTAGTGGTCACTATAAGGTTCCTCATCACAAATTTGGTGTATTCTTTTTCTATTACTAATTGAATTACTCTATTGAAATTTTTAATGACTTGAGTGTTAGAGTGCCTATAGCTAATTTTTACCATCACTTGTCATAGTGTAAATGTTCACTCATTGAACCAATCAAACATTATGTTTGAACAAAATAATATTATGCTTTCTAACCTTATAAGTGTAATGAACATTTTGTTAGTATTATTTCATTATAAGTATAAAGAAAATGCTAAAGAATTGGATTTGAAAATAAAAATATACAAAATATGATGTCATAAGTGAATTTATATAAGTAATTAACAATATTTATCATAATTATTCTCATAGTTAACTTACTATAGATTATTAGGCTATGTTAATTTAATATGTATCTTTTCTATAAATTGAATTAATAGGTTCCATAGACTTATTAATTTACAAAATTTAATCTTAACATATACATTAGAATATTATTAGTTACAAAGAAGAATAATCATTAAAAAATAGAATTTAAGAGTACCTATATAATGATTATGATTAGATGAGAGATTCATTTATTCTAAAAGTAAATCTACTTAAACTTACTTTACTCAATAACTCATATTCTTTCAATGATTCAACCGTTGAATTAAAATTTCTTAATACATAGATCAAATCTACAAAGTTTTAAAAAAAATTGAAAACTTTTTAATACTTTATTTCACTAATTCAAATCAACATATATAATGTTTCTATAATTATTCATCCATTTGAAATAATGAAATAAAATATCAACTAATTTTTAAATTTTTTTAAAATTTTGTAGACTTAACTGTGCATTGTTAAAATTTGATATAGAATATGAGTTATTGAATAAAATAAATCTAAATAAACTAATTTTTAGATTAAATAAATCCCTCTTTTTATGATAAAATCAAAATAAATTTTTCCATAAACTAAAATTAACTTATGCATAAATTAAAAATAAATTTTCAAAAAAGTTAATTAGAGAAAACTTTTATAAAATAGTTTTTGCATAAGCTAATTTAACTTTATAAAGAAGTTGATTACATTTTTCCTTTTTATTTTATGCTTTCTTAGTAGTGCTTCTAACGTTTATAAAAGTGTGATAAAACATCTACTTCTTGGTGTTAGAAAGGCATGGTATTCTAAAATAGTTACGTTGGAGGAGGGTGACTCGTGAAAAAATGTTGACATCACACAATCATGCTAACCAAACCCTCGAAACGCAACCTAATAATTCAAATTTTAGAAATTGTATATTAGAAATGAATAGATATGATAGCATATAATGGATGATAAATTGCATTGTATGCATAGATTATAATATTTTTCTCCTTAATTAACTAAAATTCTACATAATGACAATTATCATAAAGCATTTTTAGCATAGTTGTATTAAATAGAACACCAACTTTTGATGACAAGCTAACGTTGTTTCCTTCATTCATTCCTTTCTCTATCTGTGTGGGAAGAGCTATCTGAAGCTTGTGACTGACAATTCTTGTTGAGGATGAAACCTTTACTCCCAACGTTTTTCAAGGATGCCATAAAACTCCGAACACTGTCATCTAAAGCACTCTGCAGTATCTGATGAGAAAACAACTGTGGCTTTTCTGAAGCTTTTCTTACCGAGATTACTGCAAAATTTACCTACAAAAAAAGGAACGTGGAAGACATACATAAGCTTAATGATGGAGTAGCTCTTTTTTGAACACTGGGCTGTAGGGGTAAATTTATTCATATCATAAACATAAATAGGTGATTGGGAGTTGGGACTATACATATTCTAACGAGTAAAATTAGACACTAACTGTGCTTTGATCAAGTTGCCTTTCCTCCTTGCACGTTTAGGATAATTTTTCCTACTACACATTTAGATACATAAAAAAAAAAAAAAAAAAAAAAAAAAAAAAAAAAAAAAAAAAACAATTCTTTGAAAAGTTACTGGTCCTGATTCCTGAGAAATACAGACAATCCATTCATCACTATTGCTTTACCTCATTAATCCCGGTTCATCAACACTAGTGACAAATTGGATTTTACAGATCCCAGCATTTTAGTAAGACCCTAATCTATACACCAAACATTTTCAAACTTACACTACTTGCACGAAGATTTATCCTCTGCACTTCTAAACCCTATTTGACAAATCATCGTAAATTATTAATGACTTTAAAACAGCCTACTCCACAGCCTTTATTAGTTTCTGTGGTTAGGCCCTCCTCTTTTACATAACACAATATGGTGATCACAAAGTTAAGGTATTCAAAGCATCTACTGCTTGATTGAATAATCAAGCTCGAGTACTGTAAAATACACATCAACTGAAAGCTTGAGATCTCAGATCAAGAGGAGCTGTATTCCACAAACTAACGGTCACTCTTGTAGTTTCGTAATATCATGTTGCATCAAATATGATAATTTATACAAATAGACTCAGAAATTCAGCCTTTTATATACCTGGCTAGCAAGTCCCCATGATATACAGTGAATTAAACATTCTATTTGATGGTCGTAGTCTTTAATCTCGATCGTACACGCGCATTATTTATTTACATTTTCAAAGTCAGGCTTGTTGTGTCTATGAAAAAAGCTAAAATCCAACACCAATGAAGAATAACAAATAGACATTACCTAATAAAACTTACTGTGAAGCAAAGATGAAAATATTTTAACAAGGTATAAGAAGAATAAATCAAAATGGGAAAGCTAAAAACACTGAAAGCAATAAACTGATAGTGATGATAAAATCTAGAAAATAAAATTAAAGGAAGCATATGTTGGGCCCAAATCAAAGTAATACTTCTAACAATGATAAAATGGTCATCATACCGATTGCGAGGCCTTCTGCACCAAAGCTTTGGCAAGTGGCAATATGCAAAACCTTTTGACAGAAAATGAAGGAAAAATGATTAGCAAGTAGTCAAGTATAAAATAGTGGTTTTGTTGCTTAACTTGTGCCGCAAAAATGCAAAGATGTAGAATTTCATGTACTTTTTGAACTCCTTTAATAAGAAAATTAAACAGACGATCACACCATGCCTAAAAAAGTAAAGGGTGAACTTTTTGTCCACTCAGAAACCAAATAAAAAGATTTAAAAGAAGAGGTATATCTTACATTCCTCGGCCACCATCAAGTGCTTCCTCCGCCGGGTCTTTCCACTCATCAATTCTGTCAGACGCAACCAATAGTAATCATAGCTTTACTATTTGAAAACTATAGAATGGGTTATATGGGACAAGATTCATAGATATAAGAGAGGGGGAGAGAGAGAGAGAGAGATTACACCCATCCATAGCGGCGATCAAACAGCAGCCGCTTAGAAGATTGTCTTGAGTTTGGAACATTGATTCTGGAGCTTGTGGATTCCATCTACCACACTTATTTGCTTGATTGAGTGTTATACGAGGGACAAAAGGAAAAGGCGAAACTTCTGTTTCAATAGATGGAAAAGCAGGTCAGTAACAACAAAGAATTGAGACAGGTAAAGATTTGTTTTAGATCAAAATTATATGAATGAGAGGACATTTTGTACGACAATTTCCACTTTATTTTGTACCTATTTCAAAAAAAAAAAAAAAACTAAGCAAAACTTATTTTTGTTCTGAGATGTTGACTGCTAAGAAAAAAGTGAAACAAACAGTCTCACTAACAAGTTTTCAAAAACTTGTATATATTTAAGAGTGTTGTCACTAAGAAGCTTCAGGGAGTTTGAATATGTAATTATACTAAAAAGATTCACCCTATAGTCAAACTTTGAGACTAAGTAATTCTTCAAAACAAGTATTGGCCCAAATTCATAGTCAATCTTCAACTCACAATAAGTCTTTAAAGTTTAAACACGATGATCGGAGTTTTAACAATAACAACTCAAGCAAAGCATAATATTGATAAGATAAAACATAGTTAACCGATACCTGAGTTTAGAAACCAACACACTTAAGGTACATACCCTATAATCCACAAAACTTCACTCTGCCATTTTTCTCAACTTAACCACAGAATACTTAACGAGCAAATTAGAGAATAAAAACACTGTAACTAATACCACATGTCAAATTCAACCTAATAAGAATTTAAACAAATATTGATGTATTAATAGTATCTTTGCCACACAATGGCCTGATTTCTGATAAAGGATTGTGACAATCACGACCATGCCCACAATTTAAAACCTTGCCCCAACAAATAAACAAAAGGGATGCTATTTAACCTTTACACCAATCAAAGAATTAGTGAGCACCCAAGTTTTAAAACCACCAACCAAAAATCACTGAAATGTATAATTCTATACCCCTTCACCGAACATAAAGCTCTCTTTGTTCTGAGAGTTAACAGTTAAGCAACAAAGAGAATACACAAGCAGTGATATTTCCAATCAGAAAACTAACCCAGAAGGTGCCACAAGCAGTGGAAAATGAAAATTTAACGAAAAAAAGGAGATACCTTTGAGTAAACTCGAAACTTTGCTAATGGGTCCAGCTCAAAATAACGTTTTTTCTTTCTTCGCAAAAGCGTTTGAGATGGTGCGTGAAGAAAGAAATGCGTATGCAGCTACGGGTAGAATGAGGTGATAGACAAAGAGGCAAAATAATCTGTGTTTGAGGAAATGGGATTTTTGAAGAAATTCGATATTCAGCCAACCTGAATTAGAATTGAATATCAATCTTAGGGTTAATAATTTTTAATAAATATCGTTTCACTTAATCATTTTTAAAATAATAAATTAACAAATTTTAATAATGGAAATTAATTAGGTGATAAGCTTTTATTACGATGAAATATATTATTTATATTATTTTTCATCGGTATGATTACACAATTTTAAGATATCTGTAATTTTATTATTTGTTAAAAAAAGTTAGGAAAAATAATTTTATATTTATTTATTTAATTATACTCTACCTCTTTCATCTCACTAAGAAAAAAAAACTATATATTAAAATTAGTTTATAACTTAAATTTTATAAATAATTGGGCTTAATTGCATTTTTGATCCCTCAAGTATTGCAATTGTGTAATTTTGATCCACAAAGTTTTAATTGGGTAATTTTAGTCTATTATAATTATGCGATTTTAGTCTTTTAATTTTTAATTGAACAATTTTAGTTCCTCGAATATCATAATTGTGTCATTTTAGTCTCTCCCATTAAAAATTTAATAATTTTAATATATATACGTATAATGTTTTGAAATTATATAATTATTTATCTATTCAAGTTAACGTATATTATAATTTTTATTATTGTATCAAATGATATATATTTATTATTATTAAATAAATAAAATTTATATATTATTATTTTTATAATATTACTGATAAATTAATATCAATAATATTATTAGTATATTTATAGATAAACTAATAATTTGATAAATATAAATTATTATATATTAATATACTTTTACAAAGATATAAGTATATTAATTAGAAATATATATCTTATCTTATATATTTATATTTTTGTAAAAGTATATTAATATATGCTAAGCTATATTTATCAAAGGGGAATGCTAATATACTCCCACCTATTTT